TTATGTCTTTTATTATAACTATAGTTGTTATCAAAATGTATCATCTTTGTGTTTTGAATGTTTTGATGGACAAAGTTCAGAAAAGCATGATTTGATTTATTGATTTAATAAACTAGAATGGTCCTCACTTCAGCGTCTTCTATTAACTTTCTACTTTTCTAAAACCTTACTCTTGGACTTGATGAGGTTGATACGCACCAGGGACAAAGATGCAAATAAATACAGGAGATAATTATTCTATATTCTTGACAAAGTCTGATAAAGTTTTGAGATTTATTTGAGAATTGTCAGTAAACCTAAACCAAAGAAAAACCCGGTGCTGACATGAGTAGGTCAGGACTGAAGCTCTTGTTTCCAGGCGTCTCTGTGAAGTAATTTGGAGTTTAAATGTCGACAATTTCACTTTGACAAATGGACAAAACTAAAAGAGTAAAGACATTTTTTGAATAAGTTCTCAGAGCAGCAGACGCAACAGGAACAATCTCCCTGGTTTAAAGTAACTTCAGCTGGTAAAGTCATAAAACAGTTTTTAAAACCAGAGTCATGTAATTGCCAAATGTGACCAGCGACCAGAATATGTTTTGTCGACAAGAAGAAAAATCTCCTCGACAACAAAGGAATCAACTCTTTCTGTTTTAGTCTTGTGAGCTGTGAGCTCCACAAAGCCAGACAGCGGACTGTGATGAGCTGCAGGAAGTGCTCACAACCACACACCTCTGCACCTCAGCCAGCATCCTGCAGCGGTTACCATAGAGACGCTCTCCGCTCCTGCAACAGTCTGCTGCAAGCTCTGCTCGCTCACTCACATCACGAGGATTCAAAGAAGACGAAAGGTTCTTCAAGCGGGGTTCTACTTTCAGTATCTGCAGTGGAAACATAGTGTATGTGCTTGTGTGTGTGCATGTGTGTGTCTGTGTGGTTCACATTTGTATGACCTATTCAGGACCTTTTGCAGCATGAACACTGTCTTTGTCAGGACCAGTGGACCTCATGGGGACCAAAGCCTGGTCCTAAAAAAATGTGGTTTCTGGAATACTGGTTAAGTCAACGCAGACCCCTTGAAAAGATAGCTGTGCAAATATATATGTGTCTGTGTGTGTGTGTGTGTGTGGGGGGGGGCTTGTGTGTGTGTGGTGTGTGTTTCCCCTTCATTGACACACATTAACTTGTGCAGGTGCTGCAGAGAAAACCACACGACTGCCAGGAAAACTAACAGAAAACATCACATAAAATACGACTGAGATGAATAAAGGTGATTAAAAAAGTTTTTGGAGGGTGACAGCCTTCTCTAGGATATTGTGTCACTGTTGATCTCTATTAAGACGACATCAACGATCAGTAAAAGTAACTATTGACATCTACTTTAGAACATTTCGAATCGCACATACCTGTAGTGAAGGTCAGTGAATATACATAATGCTGTTCTTTTACCAAACATGGTTACCAGGCAGTCTCTCTATTGACTCTATAATACAATAATTCTGTTTCAGAAGAAGAAGGAGCAGAATCATTTTCAGTTTAAAGACTGAACATGATTCATCACTGAGCTTTTTGCAGATGAAACAGTTCTGAAGAGTGAGCAGTGTTGAAGTGGTGTTGAGTGAACTCTATGAATCATTAACCTGGGTAATAAAGCTTCGTTTCATCAGCAGCAACACGAACGTTTTTTTAATAGTCAATCCAACTTCCCTGTTTTTACTGATGTGGTTACTTCAGACACAAACTGTAACTGTGAGGATTACCTTTCCCCAGAGATTCAAGATGTTCTGTGTCAAGATATCAAACCATATTAAACCAGGTTAAACGTTTTAAAGCTCATTCACTGTGTATTTAGTGACAGTGGAAGGAAACTGACATTGAAACACTAAAATCTGTGAGTGGTCTTTAGTGGTTATTCATAAACACATAAATGAAAATGAAATAAACAGCCAGCACAGGAGGAGAAGTGTGAAAAGTGATGGAGCTGTTATTTAAATGTTCTCACCATGTTTGCCCTCAGCGATCCTCAGTGGTGGATAAAATGCTCCATGTCCAGCAGTGACTCAGGATCCAGACTGACGCTACTGTACAAACCAGGAAAAGCTCAGTGTGGGGAAATATGGACCAGTTCTGTATCAGTGAATGTCATGCATTCACTGTTTCCTGTTTTCTAGTGTTGTCATACTAAAGACTTCAAGTTACTGCAGTTCCTGTTTGCAGAGTGCCTCAATACTTACCTGATTTTGGTCACTTCCTGCCCCTGGACTTTCCCACCACACCAGTAAACCCCTCATTGTCTCGTAACAGACCAAGTGAATCATGTTTTCACCCCTGTCCTTTTTGTTGTCAGCAAGATTACACAGTTATTCTGAATATATTCAT